AGTGCAATTTCATCAAAAATGGCTCCAACGGAATTCTAAACTTTTACAATTTTTTCTGATACATGTATATACACATTTTTTTAGGCTCTGTAGAAAGTTTGAGTTGATTTCAATCAAGGTTAAATTTTTATTGAATTTTTAAAGTTACTCAAAAATTTGGGCCAATATTAGTAACGCGGTAGCGTTACTAAGTAGGATTCACCCCCAAACAAAATGGCTGCCACGACTTTTGCAGCCTTGCTATACCGGGAAAACGAGCTCCTATGCTTACCAAACTTCTTAGAGGACCTTATCTTGACCAGAGGACTCCAATGGTACCACTAGCGTGGCTCTAGACCTTTTCTGGGACAAACATCAAAAATCTGCAAACCGGCCGTTTTGTTCAGCCACCTTTTTTCATCTTCATCATCATCATCATCAAGTTAGTCCTGTCAATCCAGTTGTCGGTCGATATATCGTTCTTGTCTGGTGATAGAAGGCTAATTCTTACACCATTCTACTCCAAAAGGGTATGCGCAGGTCCTTGTCCCCCTAGAATCATTCTCCAAGAAAGGAAGAAGTGATACTGTGACTGTTGGATCGCACCAGCTTACCTCATACCGCCATTTTATTAATTAAAGAAGCATCAAGCATCATGAAGCATGTGCTCCAAAATTTGGGCGTGGTCGCGCATGCTCAGATCTCAGAACTGGGAACAGCAAGTATTTTTACCTAGCTATAGGCTAGCTATGCTTGGAATCAAATTGCAATACTTAGTGGAGCTTTCCAGCTAAAAGAAGGTATTAATCTTGCATATATCAAGTGTGTAATGAATTATTTTATTTCAAAAACACAAAACAATTAATTACTGTTATGTTACTAATGATAATATGAACTTGACAACAGGAAGAACCTGCAGCATTCAGCAGGAATAGCTACAGGATTGCTGGGAAGATAGAGCTTCTTGAACAAGGATTCACATCAAGACTTTAGTATTCATTTCACTTGTCATCAGTATTCCTTCACCATATCTATTCAATTCAATCAGTGCTGTCCCTCATAAATGCTGGAAAATCATAACAATGACAACAATAATAAAGAAACTTATTGTTTGTGTAAAATCAAAAAGTATCACAATTGTAACTGAAAAAATAGTATAAATATTATTAAAAAAATTAACACAAACAAGAACATAAAAAATTAAAAAAAACAAGATTGAGTAGGATTCCGAACAACCAACGAAAATATGAAATGAAAATCCTACTCTCGTGACGCAAATTCTACTTTACATTGTAAGGTGATCCATAACTTTTAAATAATAACATTAACAGTACAATGTAGAGTAGAATTTGCATCACGAGAGTAGGATTTTCATTTCGTATTTTCGTTGGTTGTTCGGAATCCTACTCAAT